AATGCAGGCTGCCCTTGCCAATCTCCTTCTCATTCTCAAACCCAACAGGCCTTTTCCAATGTCCCTTACCTTGGCATCCTCCTCCTGCACCTCCTTATTCATGTCATCCCAGTTCTTGGTTTTCCTGAACTCTGGCTCTTCCTGCATGTGCTCTTGCACACTTACCCTTCTCTACCCTTACCATGTCTGTGCCATGCTTTATGTGGTGACTACTGCTTAACCCTGACCTCCCTAAAGCGCCTTGAAAACAGAAAGTTCAGCCTTGTTTGCATTTGTGTTCCTGGGTATGCACTAGGACCCAGCATATAACTAGTTGGTGAATAAATGATTGAACAAGAGGCTAGGAGAAAGAGCCTAGCCTGTGGCAGGTGGGCATCAACTCTACATGCCCACAAAATCCATGTGACAGGTATCCCCCACAGCTCTTGAGAACAGCAGTATCTCAGGTATTCCTGTCTGAGGTTTACTACGTGCCAGGCACTCTCGCGGTGTTTGTACACATTATCTCATCTAATCCTTAAGGGAGGAAGATGTGTGATGGTCCCACTTCTACACATGAGAAAGTCCACAAACATGACTCACACAAGATCAGTGAGGGAAGCTACAGATTCCGCTCCCACAGTGGCCTGAGGCTTACACACAAAGCCTGAACAACTGAATAGATGGTAGAAACTGAGGCTCAGCCCTAGTCCAGGCACTGGCCTGTTCCGAGAGGGGTCCTGGTTCCTGTGAAACCATAGGCTCCACTCCCAAACTCCTGGGACCACTTTCCCTTCTGACCAGTCACAGGTGGCCCAGACAGATTTAGGAGTTCTACATAATGATGTCCTGGAATGGACAGGAGCCCACAGGGGTGGATGCATAAAGAGCCCCTGATGCAAGTCACTGTGACTCCTTCCTTCCCAGCCAGGGTGGGCAGTGAGAGTGAGGGGCTCCAGGTCTGGCTATGGAGCAGCTCAGGTAGAGAATACTGGAAACATCCAGAGGCCAGGCCCCAAAGGTCCTCTATCCACTCATCCTCCCCCGCCTCCTGCCCATGCTCCACTTGCTCTTTTGTCACCACTGGTTTGGAAAGATTATAAGGACTGACAGAACCTCTGATCATCAACACTGAAGAGGGCCTTTGGGAAGACTCATCTTCCTACCTCACTGATGAAGACACTGAGGTCTGGCCTGAGGAAGGGTCTGAAGCTGAAGGGGCAGGTGATCCTACTTCAGGTGGGCCCTGCTCTCTTCTATAAGCATTTACTGAACACATGTGAGAGACACAACTGAGAAATACGCCAACACTGCTATGGAGGAAAAAAAACCTTTGGCCAAAAGCACCACATAGCAAAGTTAAGTGCTGCAGGCAGACATAAGTCAACAGTGCTGTTAATTCCCTGGCTCCCGGCCAGGGGCACTCTGGGTACTGTGCCAAGCCATCAACTGACAAGTGCAGGCAACATTTCAGTCTCTTCCAAAACTGTGCCTGGACGGTGGCAGCAGAGCCCATGACTCTAGCTTCCCAGAACAAGGTCTACAGAAGTGAGGGCTGGACTGTCCCTACAGCTAACATTGGTGCCAGGTAGTGGGTGACAGAGGCTGGCCTGCACCCTGAGGTGCTCATGTCCACCGAAAGAGCCAAGGCAAAGCTTGTTCCCCTGGGAAAGTCCCATGTCCCCACAAGTCCTCAGGGAATGCTCTTTTCAGGCACGCAGCTCCCTCCTCCCACAGGAAACATGGGAATGCCAGAGAGTGAGCAAGAGGGGATGGTGGGGCAGTGGTGTATACAAGACCTGCAGCACTGAGAGCAGAAGAGGTACACTGCGACTTAGGAAGCTGCCTCTGCACGGGTTTCCCGCAACATCAACTTCGTAGGCTGAAGGACCGTTAGACTGGGCGGAAGTGGACTCTAGCCAAGGGGATGTTCCCAGATGTCATGCTTTCAAACCAGGCCCGCCCTGAAAGGCAGGCCGGGACAAGCTGGAGTGGGGAAGCCCTGCATAAAGACTCAGAATTGTGCTCCAGCCTCTTCTTGGCAGGGAATGGCCACAGGTTTCCCTGGCAGCCTGCTCACCAATGCCTGCCCCAGAAAGGAGAGCCTCCACTATCCGCAACCACAGCTTGCCGGCTTGGGGGCGGGGTTCCAGCGGCTGAAAAGTCTGGCCCCTCACTGCCTACCCACCCCCACCCATCAAGGCATCCTCCAAATTCCAGCTCCCCAAATCAGGGCCTTCTGAGAAGTGTCCTAATCAAGTCCATCCTCAGCAGAGGGCTTCCCAAATGAAGTGGAAGTTGGGGAAAGGGAGCATTGACCTCAGGGCGTCCTCAGGGAATCTGGGCCTCCTCCACAGCTTGTTCAGGGGGAAAGTGGCCGGCTGCTGCCTCAGGCCTGGGGGCCCATGACAGCCCCCCCCCAAGTCCCTCGGCGCCCCCACCTTGAGATAGTCGTTCTCGGAACGGAGCTCCTCCAGCTCGCGCATGAAGCTGCCGGGCCCGCAGTCCAGCATCTCTTCGGTGAGGTCGGAGAAAGCGATCGAAGCACTGGGCGGCAGACGGCTGCTGCCCACAGACGACGCGGCCACTGACGGCTCCTCCGGGGAGGCGGGCGGCCGTGGAGGCTGCTGCGAGGCCGGCGCG